CTGATTTTAGCTGTTAACTGATGTTAGCCAGCATTAGTGAAACTTTCTCTGAAGTTGATGTAACAGTGTTGACAAATAAGCTCTCATACAATGTGAGAATGTGATGAAACTGTTTATCACCGGGAAAGTGTGATATATGTAGTGTGATAGGGCACTCGAACCTAATCCTAGCAAAATGTTAGCTTATGACCTGGCTGGTTTTGTTGTTTAGTCAGCTTTTTTTTGGTGTGGTATAGCTCTCATTTCAAAAACACAAGCAAGGACCCACCTTTCCTGTTCTTTAATTAATAATGGACTGCATTTATATAGCCCTTTGCAAGACCCTCAAAGCACTTTACAATTCCACTATTCATTCACACAGTGATGGAGGCAAGCTACAGTTGTAGCCACAGCTGCTCTGGGGCAGACTGACAGAAGCGAGGCTGCCATATCACGCCATCAGCCCCTCTGGCCATCACCAGTAGGTGAAGTGTCTTGCCCAAGGACACAACAACCAAGACAGACAGAGCTGGGGATCGAACCGGCAACCATCCGGTTACAAGATGAGCTTCCCCACCCCCTGAAACACGGTCACCCAAATTGAATAACTTTTAAGTTTTATGTGGACCATCTATCAAATAAACTCAAACCTATAACAGCGACTCATTTCCCAACAATCCCTGATGCTGCACTGGGTGTTGTCTGTAAACTGCCTAAGCTGGTAAAGCTCCTGATTTGTAATCATAGCGAGGATTTCCATCTGTTTACCAGTTTGCAAACACTACAGGGTGGAGACCTACATTACGGTGGTAATGTGCAATGTTTTCTGGTTATATTCAGATTAATGTTAACATTTCAGTATTGGACAAATTTATTAAACTGTGTTATTTCTGAAACTTGTGATGAAATGAGTTCAACATAATTATATCAGCTTGAACTGTGAAATAAATGCCAGAACATTTTTTTTTTAAATTTTGAGTGTTTGTTGAACCCTTCTGATGAAATGTTTTCAAAAAGATCTTCAATTTAAATTTTCACATACATGTATTTAAATTTGTATCATATTTGCTACATCTGGCAACAAAAAGTCACAAAAGTAAAAAAAAAAAAAAGATCAAATATGTTACACTTGGCTTTACAGGGCTAGTCATCAGCCACACCTTGAAATGTGGAGGAGGATGTATTCTTAACAAAGCTGATCCAGTAACTGTATATAAGAAAAGCTGAACATCCAGAACACCACTACAACAACCTCCTTGAGACAATCTGCTGTGGCCTTACAACTTAAGGTGATTAAATCTTTACTCTTAGCATTTCTTGAGTAAGGATTGTGAAAGACATTTTTTTTTTTTTTTTGCTTGAGTGAATTTGTCATTTTAACATATCTTATTGTCTTTAATCTTTTTTCAACAGGTACATTAACTCAAACAATACTGAAAGTACTTCTGCTTGGATGCTTCCTGTGCGGGACTCTGGTTAAACCTGCAAGTATTATCATAAGTGATATATTAGCAGATATTTTAATATGCAAATACAAGTAATACCACACTTTGGATGATGGTGAGGGCACACGGACACTATGAGGCGAGTGCTTTCTTTCGCCTCCACATTCAAATCACAGATGAACTGTAAAAGCTTTGGGGGGTTTTTTCTCTCTACAGATCACCAACAACAACAATATCTCCTGCAGCAGCTTCTCTCTGCCCTCCTACAAGCACTTGCTACAGCTACTATAACAGCTGCACCCACTATAACTCCCTGAAATCGTAAAGGAAACTAAATTTCAATGAGTGGTTTTAAGCCAGCATTGCTTTTTTGAAGCCAGCACAATGTTGCTTGTTTTGCATTAGTTTTCCTCTTTTCCAAATTGAATCTTGATTTTTTTTATTAAATCTTTCTGCTCACTATTGTGTTAAGTCACTGCCAAATAAAGTTCATCACTGAAAATCTGACTCAAATTTTTTGTATTTAATTTTTACATACACCTTTCTATTTTTAAGAACACAAGTTTTTGTACACATATTTTTTCATTTTTTCTCTGTACACAATCACAGTGAATTTTCAAACAAACCATCAAGATAATGTTGAATTGCAGACTTTCAGCTTTAGTTCAAGTGTCTTTGGAAAAATACTGCATTTACTGTGTAAGAACTACAAATACCGATACCTTTTATCTGTAGACCCAAATTTTCAGCAGCTCAAAAATAGCTGGATGAATTGACATCATTTTATATACAAACATTATTTTTTATACTTTGATGGAAATAACACAAACCATAAGCATCAAAACTACTGGTTCTCTTCAGATTTTTTTTTTTAGGCCTTTAGGAAAAGTCTTCAGGTGCTGCTTCTTTGTGGGTCTCTTTTTCTTCAGTTTTGTCTCCAGTATCTGCTGTGTGGGTTTGTGTTGGGTGACTGACTTGGCCATTGCACCTCAATAAATGGACAAACCAGTGGTGTGTCTACTCATTACCAACGAATGTGCAAAGAACTAATGATTACATTGTATCTATAGGCACTTTGTTACTAGCAGTCTAGCACAGATACAGTTAATTTGTTACTATTTCTTTAGTTGAATCTACAAACAACCACAAAAAAGAACATAGTTTGACAGGCAGAAATTTGTATTTTTGCACAAATGAGTTGATTCCCAGAGAGCGGTTACAAAAAAAAAACACACACAAAAAAATAAAACCTCCAAAAAAGATCAGATGTACTGTATTTGAAAGTCAGGTTCTTTTTCAATTTCAATTTAACTGAATTCAGTTCCAAATCACAATAACAGTTGCCTCATTACACATAGCAGACAGGTCTGGCCCAGATCTGGTGTAAAGCTGGCACTGCTGGCTGACTTCTGGCATGGTAAGTGGTATGTCATCCAGATGTGGGCCAGGTCTGGCAATGATGGCACTATTTATGTTCCTATTTTCCTATTTTAGTTAGAATAACCAAAAATAACATGTTGCAATACTATACTGCTAGGGTAGCCAACGTTTCAAATGCAGGTTTAACAGGTTTGTGAGTGTACACTTTATCCAAAACTTAGTGACAGTTTACTCATTGTTGCCACTGGGAGGCTGTAGCTCAGGCGGTAGAGCAGGTCACCTACTGATTGGAAGATGAGTAGTTCAATCCCTGCCTCCCCCAGTCTGCATGTCAAGAGTATGAATGTAGTTAGGAAGCACTCGGTTTAGAGAAAGAGTGTGATTTGTGAATGGGGCATGTTGTATAGGGCACCTTGAGTAATCTGGGAGAGTAGAAAAGTGCTGAATAAGAATCAGTCCATTCACTGTCTGAGCAGAGTTTTGTCATGTTACTTTTGCATGTTGTGGCACATGTTGTTATTATATGGCTTGATTAAGATACACATTAGGCTGACATCTGGGGCCAGAGCTGAAACTGTTCTGGGCCAGCACAGGGCCAGCAGTGTGTCTGCAACTCGCCCGTGGCTGCACACAACTTATACATGGCCCAAATACTGCAAAGAATGACCGCCGTTTGGTGGCCCAGATCAGGTTTGCCAGAGGTAATCCACACATGGGCCAGCACAGGACCATCAGTGTGTTTGCAACTGGCTTTGTGCTGGCCCATGTGTGGGCCACCTCTGGCAAACCAGATCTGGGATACCAAAGGGCCGTAATTCTTTGCGGTATGTGGGTCATGTGTAAGCACATTGTGTGGGCCAGATCCAGGCCATACCAGTTTTGCTATGTGGGATGGTGCTTTAGGCCATAAGGTTCAGACGCTACAAAGAAAAAGTAGAAAATCCCAGCAATCATATGATCTCCTTTGAGCAAGCACTATGGCGACAGTGGGGGAAAAAATCCCTTTTTACAGGAAGAAACCTCCAGCAAATCCACACTCAGGGAGGGTCGTCCATCTGCCAAAACCGGTTGGGGTAAGGGGAGGAAGACAGGAAAGACTGAAGGCTCAGCCTCCAATTCTACTTTAAAACATGCTAGCTTACCATAAGTAAGCCTGCAGTCTAACAGCAAAGTCCTCTAATTAGGTGATACAATTCTATAAGATAAGATGGCACTTAATTATTTAACACTTTGTATGAGATGAGCAAGATTTTGAATTTAGAAGGGCACTAATAAAGAGAAGCCAATATAAGAAAAATATGAGCTCTCTTTCTAGTTCCTGTAAGTACCCTTGCTACAGCATTTTGGATTAACTGAAGACTTTTCAGGGAGTTTTTTTAGGACATCCTGATAATAACAAATTACAGTAGTCCAGCGCAAAAATAATAAATGCATGAACTAGTATTTCAGTTTCACTCTGAGAGAGGATATTTCTAATTATAGACATATTGTGCAAATGGAAGAAAGCAGTCCTACATATGTGTTTAATATTTCCATTGAATGGCTTATTCTGGTCAGAAATGAATAAGATATTATGGTCGACAGCAGTGAACTGTTGTGCTTGTCCTGAGGTCTAGCAGGACAAGCACAAAGATGAGTCCACTGTCAGAGGCCAGAGCTAATGGTAAAGGAGATATTAAAAATTGTGAGATATTTAGATTTCTGAGTATCACAACAAAGCATCATAAAAAGAGTTACTCAACCCTAGTTTTAGCACCTTAATATTTCAAACAAACAGAGCCACGTATAAGGCTTGTGGTCGTGATGAGCCAGAGTGAGAACTCATCTTATATATACACACAAACACACATTTCACTTTGAAAGCTTTTTAAATGATCTGAAGGAGGAAAATTTAGGTCAAGATTTGATCCAGATCTTTCTGGGTGTGACACATCACACCAATTATAATCTAAAATCTTTCACTCAGTGCTAATGGACTATATTTGTTTAACTCCTTGAATTAAAGCTGAAAGTCTGCATTTCAATCACATTTGATTGTTTGATTTAAAATTCACTGTTGTCGCTCATAGGGGGAATATAAATTGTGTCATTGTCCAAATATGTGTAAATTTTGACTTAGAATAACACAGAGGTTGTAGAGAGAGAAAAAACAAAAAGACAAAAAATGAAATCTGAATTTACATGATTTTCACATATGAATTTTATTTGACAGCTAAAGACAATAGTGACCATAAAGACTGATTAAGAAGTCATGGTTAAATTTTTTTTAAACAAAAAACAAAAACATAACAGGCAAACACAACATGGTGCCTATGTCAGAAATTTGACGCAAATGCAAAGGCTTAAAACCACTCTTTGATCTTTGGTGTCCTTTTATGTAGTGGCTGCAACTATTGTAGTTGTAGTGGGTGCAGCTGTTATAGTAGTTGTAGCAAGTGGTTGTAGAAGGGCAAGCTAGAGCTGCAGGAATTCAATAAAATTGTTGTTCACCTGTAAAGAAAATGTTTTAGAGAAAGTGACGCTCCTGTGTGATTTAAACGTGGAGGATAAAGAAAACACTCACCTCATTTGAATTGGAGCCAGAGCAGGCCAGGCATTCGTATGCCTTGTCCATCTGTAGAAGATTCAAAAGCAGGGTATTACTTGTACATACTTATACTCTTATAGTATCTGCATATATTTTCCCTTATAGTGTTATTGAATCATGCCTAATGAGAATACTTACAGCCTGAGGCAGAGTGAGGCTCAGGAGGCATACAAGCAGAAATACCTTCATCATTGTTTCAGTGATTGTAAATGTTGAAAAAGATAATGAGGATAATAAAGACGCAAAATGAAAACACTCTTCTACAATCCTGACACAGAAAATATTGAGAATAAAGATTTAATTACCTGAATCTGTACAGCTGCAGCAGACTGTCTCACAGTGAACGAGGTTGTTTTAGTGATGCTCTGGATGTTGAGTGCTTCTTATATACAGTTACTGGATCAGCTTTGTTAAGAAATCCTCCTCCTCCCCATTTGAAGGTGTGGCTGATGATTAGAGACAGAAATCCCACTTGGACATGAAACTGTTGCACTAGTTTCATCACAAACATCGGAAATAACAACAGAGTTTAATTGATTTGTCTAAGGTTTTTCTTTATTAATTTTTACACAATCAGAAAACATTTTATATTACTACTTTAATGCACGTCTCCACCTTCTCGTGTTGTCAAACAGGTGAACTGATGAAAAAGTTGGCTATGATTAAAAATCAAAAGACTTAGTGGCCTAGGCATTTAAAAGGTATACACCCAGTGAAGTTTGCATTTCTGTCTGACTTTTCTCTTAGGAAATGAGTTGCTATTATGGGCTTAAGCTACTGCACTGTACCTTGTACAGTAAAGTCATGTAACAGGACATTATTAGATCTATCTATCTCTCTATCTATCTCAAAAACAGTTTTATTTGTTGTTATCTATCGTCTACCTGGGCCTTACACAGAGATTCGGACTGAATTCTCAGACTTTTTATCTGATTTAGTGCTCAGCTCAGAAAAGATAATTATTATGGGTGATTTGAACATGCACGTAGATGCTAAAAATGACATCCTAAACTCAGCATTTAATCAGTTATTAGACTCAAATGGCCTCTCAAAATGTTAAAGAAACTACACAACACTTTAATCACACTCAAGATCTGTGTTTGCTAATAGCATTTAAATTTACAATAATGGATTACACAGCAGTGGGGAGTAGATTTCATCACAGTAGATATCTTTCTGTCTCTAATCATCAGTCACACCTTAAAATGTGGAGGAGGAGGATTTCTTCTTTCTATGTTTTCTGACTGTGTAAAAATTAACACTCCAACCAGCAGGACATGACCTGCCGCAACACCTTACTCAGGAGGCGACAGCCTTGGGCTACGTCCACACTAGCCCGGATAGATTTGAAAACGGCATTTTGGTCTGAAAACGCTCCGCGTCCACACTAGCGTTTTCAGTTGTTTTCACAGAGTTGTGCGTCCACATTGAAACGGCTGAAAATGCTTACGTTCCAGTACTGCGCATGCGTGAAACACAAGAAGATTCGTCCTGCCTTATTTCTGTCTGCCGTTTATTTACTTTCCGGCTCTTTGAAACATTGCGGCAAAATGTCGAGGAAAAGCACCGAGTTTTTTAAATGGACTAACAATGAGGTGGAGTTGTTGCTGCAAGTAACACAAAAGTACAAAGTTGCAAAAGCTAGTGAGAATTAAAGAATTTGAAGAAAAGCTAACTGAAGCATGTGCAAACTGATATTAATCGTTAATAGGGATGTCAAAATTGAGAGCAAACAAAACAACTGCTGTATAATGCCCTCCGCTATCTTTGTTTAATTGGTCACATGACTGCATCACATGACTAACATGCGTCATTATTTTCGAAAGTCTCCGTTTTCGCTGTCCACACTATGACGAATAAGCACAGTCTTCAAATGTATGCATTTTCGAGAGCGTTTTGAAAACGCTGCATTTTCCTTCAGGGAAAATCCCGTTTCAGTGTGGACGGGAGGCCAAAATGGAGAGAAAACAATGCGTTTTCAAATGAAAACGTATTAGTGTGTGGTGCCAGGCGGCGCTGCTGGACTGAGCCCTGGTCCGGATGGGCCTGGGCCCCCTTTCCCTGGCGGGTTGCGGAGTTTAGGGGCGGCCACTTGGGTCAGCGGGGGAGCTTGCCCCAGGGAGGGGTCACTTGCCACTCCCTTCCTTCCCTCCCCATCTCCAGCTGCCTCCCTCTTCCCGCTGCACCACAATCACCCACACATGCAGGGCCTATACAATACAATACAATACAACTTTATTTGTATAGCACGTTTAAAAGACCAGCGGTACACCAAAGTGCTTTACAATAAAAACAGGAAAATTAAGACAATAAATAAAAGACTATTAACAAAGTACCACATATGTCATCTGGTTAAGGGCACTAATTATACAGCAATAAAAGGGAATATACGAACAAAGTTACTAAGAACAGATATAGCTAAAAGATAAAGTACATAAACAAGAAATTACAGAACATAAAAGTACATAAATAAGAAATTGAACCAAATATAAAATAGGGACACTAACTAGATGGAAAAGCTATGTTGAATAAATTAGTTTTTAAACGGGATTTAAAAGATAAAACGGAGTCTGACGCACGGATAGCGATAGGAAGGTTGTTCCACAGATTCAGTGCAACCAGGGCAAAAGCACAGTCACCCCTAGATTTAAGTCTAGATCTAGGCTGAGCCAGGAGTAATTGGGCTGAAGACCTGAGGGCTCGCCCAGCGACATACAGACTAAGAAGATCGACAAGATAACGAGGGGCTAAATTATTTATAATTTTAAAGGTGAGCAACAATATTTTAAATTCAATCCGATATTTTATGGGTAACCAATGCAACTCAATAAGAACTGGGGTGATAGAGGCATGCTTTCTAGTGCCAGTCAGGAGGCGAGCCACAGCATTCTGGACAAGCTGAAGTCTGTGAAGGAGAGCGGAGTAAAGACCAAAGTAGAGGGAATTACAGTAATCCAATCTAGAAGTCACAAAAGCATGAATGAGCTTTACAAGATCTTTATGAGGAACATAGTGCTTAGCCTTAGCAATAAGGCGCAGTTGGTAAAACCTAGATTTGATTACTGAAGACACTTGTTTGTTAAATTTGAAAGAGCTGTCCAGCAGGACACCTAGGTCACTAACTGAGTCAGAGAAAGAAGTGGCAAAGGAACCAAAGGTATCAGCTGATAGGCCCCTAGGGATATGGTTGCCAAACACCACAATCTCCGTTTTCTTTTAATTCAGGATAAGGGAATTGTCTGAAAGCCATTCTCTGACTTCTCTCATGCACTCGAGGAAGCAGTGCAACGAAGGAGCAATGTCGTCATCATCTAATTGAAATAAATTTGTACATCATCGGCATAGAGGTGATAAGAAATGTTATATTTTTCAAAGATTAAGCCTAGGGGGAGCATATATAATGAGAATAACATCTGACACACCTTTACCTTGGGGTAAAGGTGTGTCACCAGGGTGCAGGGGAGGCATCCCCCCCCTCTGTCCCCTTCTGGCTGGCTGTGCCTCAATTTTATCCCACAACTTAGACATTCACATTACTCACACTCTCATAACACATACTTAAAGGATCTTGGGGGTGGGCACGCTACACGGAATCCAAAAGACCATCAGGGTGTACACCTCACCCCTGGCGTCGTTGCCCACCTCTCAATTTTAAATACACGTAGACATTGAGGGGTAGCAGGAGGGGCTTACCTGCTCTCTGGCAAGTAGCTCCATGCCGTCCTGGGTTTTAAATGCACCTTAGAACACACATGCATCAACACTACATATGAGCGGGCGGAGGGAGGTTTGGAGTCTTCACACACCCCTGTTCTCTGCGGCCTGTTGGAGCGGGGGGTCTGGGAGGAGGAGTTGGCCGTCCAATTGGGGTCTGGAATGTGGGGTCCACTCTGGCACAGCCGTTTCTGCTGAGTGAGCCCTCATCTGGGACTCTCCTCAGCTCTTTCTGGGACAGTGGCGCGGCTGCCCCTCTGTTGGTCTTCCTTGGTCTCTTGTGTTCTGGGGGCCTCTGGATGTCTGGAGTTTTGATCTCCTCCATACCTGCTTCATGCCCTGGAGGACGGGGCTGTGGCCCCCCCACACCCTCTAGCAGATCATTACATGAAGGAACCTTTTAAAACAAGCGCTCCATGCTCACAGGTGCTCACACGGTGCTCACACACAAACTACACCCTTTTTGGCTCCTACCTCAAAGCACACTGTGCGCTGTCGATCTTACGTGCTGCACAATAATGTTTAATATTTAGTATTTACTGTTATATTCCCATATATCATTGATGTTGTTTATTATATTGCTCTTTTTTTTTCTTCTGCTTGTTTTCTTTTTTCTTTCTCAACAGGTGATCCAGGTGATTGATATATGTATTTTTTGTCTGCTTATTTTGTTGGTTTTTGTTTTTTGCCCTTTATCCCGTCCCTCTTCCCCGCTGTTTTTCTTTCCCTCTTTCTTTCTCCCCTTTCTTTTCCCCAGTCAAGTCTGTCCCGTATTTAGCAAGTGAAAATAAAATAAACAATAAAAGGTGAATCAAATAGACCAATAGCCAAGGCGGATGTTTTTGCTGCTTGAAAGATGTTTTACATCTGCTTACTCACACACGCAGTTACTGTCCCTCCATTTACAAAGGCAGAGGCGTCACGATGTGATTATTTTACGTGTAGTTGTTTTTTTCCTGTGTAATAATATTCAACATTGCTATCAATACATTTTTCAAAAAATGCCTCTCTGTGCAAAATAGGTTTAAAAACATAAACAGCTGTGGGATACTGTTTGTCCGTGATTTGAACCGGGGGAACAAATCGTGGCAGGATCAGCCTGATATTATTTGTATCCCACTGTAACTTTACTGTATAAAGTATAGTATAGTATGTATATCTCCAAAATGTCAGGAGTAGTTAGTCATTACAAGAAGTGTTTGTGAACTAAAAATCACGAATGTGGGATACTGTTTGTCCGTGATTTAAACAGCCCAGCGCTGCTCCCGACGAAGGGAAAACCAATTCTGCAGGGGAGACCTACCTCGGCACTTGTGCAGGTGAAGCCAAAGGGAAGATATGCTTCACCATATTTTCTAGTCTTTGGCTTAGAATGAAGTTGGTTTGGAAACATATTCAGCGATGCTTCATCTCCTGCTTTGCGTTTCTGTAGGCGCCCGTGCTAGCAGTGTCCAAGCGTTTTGTTCCCCCCCCTTTTCATCCCACGCCCCCCGGGCCCGCACACTTTGGAGGTGTGAAATAGACCATTACGGCAAGGCTGGGATGGTCAATTTGGTAAAGTAAATCCGTTGGGCATCTTTCTTTGCCTTTAGACAATAATTCTGATGGCAAAAGAGCCAAACGGGGCAAGCAAAAAAAAAAAAAAAAACAACAACAAAAAAAATCGCATTAGTGTGGATGTAGCCTTAGCCATCTCCTTTCGATGTGGATGGTAGCTACTTTTGGAGTGAGTAAATTTCCACCACTCACATGTAGGGGATTTAAAATGTTATCTGAATCTGAAATCTTAATCTTAAACTCTTTCCAGTATATAAACGGTCTTAAATAACAAGGCATACTGACAGGCTATCACTTTTATGTCCTAACTTGCCCCTTGACCCGCCGTTGCTAAACTGTTTGACTATGAATGTTCCTACTGAAAAAAAACCACCAGGAATATAACTTTCAAGTTAATGCTACCAACCTCGGCAGCAGCTTCTAAATATTAGGGAAGCACAGTCTACTCAATTTTAGAAAACTTAAGAAAGTTTATTATGTAATATTGTTGATGTACCATAATTTAAACTCTATTTTAGATCAACAGTGTTCATTAGTAAACACCTAAATAGCTGCTCACATCACATGTGATGTAAACTCTTTATTGAAAGGGGAATATAATGGTTAGCTGAGGGACTTACATTTCTTACAAACAGAAAAACACACATTTTCTATTCATAAATTTTATTTGGTAGACACTGCTATGTTTTCTCATTAAAATATCACAAATTGACAGTTGCACTGCATGCTAACTTTCATTCAATAGTTAAATGCCAGTTTTTAACCAGTTACAGCCGGACGAGGGGTGGTTGCAGCTGTTGTAGTGGTTGGAGCTCTAGTAGTGGTTGTTGCTAGGCTGGCAAGTAGTAATTGTATGAGTAGCTGCAGCTGTTGATTGTTTAACTGTGGCAGTTGATTGGCTTCCTGAAAAACCACAAATAAAAATATTTATTATCAAATGCAGAGAAACGTTACATCTGTAAAACTAAAAACTTAGATATTTAGGAGGCAATAATCCACAATGTAATTCAAATCACAGTACTCTGACTTGTGCATCAAAAATCATTTGCCATTTTGTAATGGAAAAAAAAATAAGAAAAGCACTCACCCCTGACCCAGAGTAAGATTCAGAGCTTGAGCGCACAAGTCTTTTGCGTGCCATACCCATCTGTAGACAATGATCAAGTTCAATACTGCCTTCATTTTATTGTATTACAGTATTATTAATGGTATCTGAATGCATAAGTGCAAATAAATACGTAAAAATATGTGATAATGTCAGACTTACAGGTTGAGTCAAAGTGAGGCTCAGGAGGCATCCAAGCACAAATGCTACCTTCAGCATGGTTTCAGTGATCGTACCTGTTGAAATAAAAATGGTAATAAAGATTTAATCAAATCAAATAAATTAATTAAACAATCACAATTCCACAGTTAATCCTATCCTGGCAAAGAAAAATTTGACAACAAAGACTCATGTAATTACGTCTAGTCCACTGCTGCAGCAGTCAGTCTCAGAGTGAAGGAAGTTGTTGTAGTGATATTCGGAAAGTTGAGCTCTTCTTATATACAGCTACCAGAGCACCTTTGTTAAGAAATATCCCAAGGTGTAACTAATGATTAGAGCCAGAAACCACATAATAATCTTGTCAGCACCCAGACAGGGTAAACAAAAAGAAAACAAAACAAAACACTATGCCATATGAATTATAACTGGATCAGATTATTAGGAACCAAACTGTCAGTCAGTAATTAAACAACACACCCTGAAATTATTCAAGTTTGTGCTCAAATATTGCACTGAAAATGAAGAAAAGCACAGAGTAATCTACTGCCAAACTGTATTCAGAGGTTGTTTGAAATTAGAGCGGTACAGTATGGACTCAAGCATGTTTGAAAAGGTATGCTGTGAATTAAAATCTTTTCTTCTTGTTCAGTATGTAAATGGTAAAAAAAAACAAACAATTGCGATAGTAAACAATCAGAAAACTTTATTAATCCCTAAGGAAATTATGAAATTAAACTGAAATATGATAGTTATTGCTTAAGAGACAATACTTTTTGTCTTTATTTGTTGAGAACATGATGTGAAAATGTGAAAAGGTGTAATATATTAAAGGTCATTCATTATGACTGGTACTTTTTACTAAGTTATTCTTGTTGTGTTTTTTTTTTAAATATCATCATTAAAATTATCATGTGAATATGCTGCACTTATTTTATATTCACCTGCATCAGAATAATGCATTTTCTTAGACTGAAATATGAACATAATGGAAAGATTACAGGATTTCAGGAAATTAATTGCCGTTATGAATCAAGCTAGTCAATCAAGTTTAAACAGTAAACCTACTTAGGTATTAGCAAACACCTTGTCAAACTGTAGTCGTAACTAAAACCACAGAGAAGACAATGGTAAGGCATTAAGTCCAAAATAGCAATTATTGTTTTACTGCAAGAGGGGCTGTTAGAATCATTAGGAAATATGTGTTTCTTAATATGTCTGATACAAGTATCAACACATGATATCACCAGATTGGCTTAAAAAATAGTTTGTATTTTACTTTACTTGTTCTCATGTCTTTATTAAGCTTTTGCTTGTGCTCAATATTAAAGAATATATTAGATAATTAATGTTGCATTGGATATGCTGAAGATTGCAACAGTATGTTAAATTGTATTCATTATATTAGTTGATTTCACTTACCGTATTTTTCAGACCATAAGGCACACCGGCTTATAAGGCGTGCTGTCAATGAATGGGTCTGTTTTATACATAATGCGTACTGGATTATAAGGTGCATTAAGCGAAACAAAACAGTCAGATAAGTCAAACTTTACTCAACTCATTCTTCTTGCTTTCTCCATTTCTGTACCATTGATTCATTAATGTTGAATTCTCTCACAGCTGCTCTATTCCCATGTTGTTGTAGTATATTAATATTAATGACTATTCCCGTATTGTGGATGGATTATCTCAGTTGTTCTCCTGACTGAAGTTTGGTCCATTTACAGCAGCGGTCCACAACCTTTTTTGCACCACGGACTGGTTTATGTCCAACAAGACTTTCATGAACTGGCCTTTAAGGTGTTGCAGCTAAATACAACAAAATAAAACCAGTACCAGCTAGTCCAACTTAGTAACCCCACAAACATCACTGATGTTTAGTTTTCTCTCTTCATTTATGTTGGAAGTGATAGCAGAGCAGTACGTTTGAATTTTTTCAGAAATCTCTCAGTCAGAACATGCTATATCATGTTTGGGTGGAAACTAGCAAGCTAACTTTCTGCTAATTTCTAGCTCCGTTAATTTAATAAATTCTGTTTTCATGGACACCTGGATGTTAAACTTAATTGTTACACCTGGTTAAACAACAATGCTGATCATGATATTAAAGATGAAATAATTTTTATAATATAAATAATAATTAACTCTCAGTGGAGCTGCAGTGCTCGTTTGACTTTGGGACCTGAAGCAGGCAGAGTTTTGGACCCAGATTACTCTGCGAGGCTCCTGACTACGGTAGCTGTAATGCTCCAACAATCCACCAAGTTGTGCGACTTTGTAGCTTACCAAAGTTTTTTGGACAGATTTTTGAGCGCCGTGTACCACATAAAATCGGTTCAAGGTCAGTAAGCACAACCAGAATTCATACATAAGGCACATCGATGTCGATTTTTGAGTCTGTGAAGGTTCTCAGTCATCCAGGACATCGTAGTCCAAGGAGCTTGGAAAGAAAAGTGTCTGGACTTCTTTAAGTTGCTTGAAGACATTTTACCTCTAATCCAAGAAGCTTCTTTAGTTCTAGGGTCAAATGGTGGACAGTCCCAGATTTAAGCCCTGTGGGAGTGTCCCCCTGTTAGGTCTGCACTCGCAGGCCTCGCTGACTCAGAGACTTATCCCCATGAATGAAGCAAGACACTCAGAGCTTAGTCCATTTTAACTTCCAAGAGAAGCCGGTCTGGTCAGGATCCAAAACTTCAAGCTCCGCACCTGAGCTCAGCCCAGCGTCCCCTAGCAGCCTTTTATTCAGTGACAACAGCTACAGAAACACCCCATTGTAAAACCCATATGGTGTGTTGTAAAAGTTGCGAGCATGTGAGTGAATGTGTATGTGTGTGCGTGTGTATGTGTGTGTGTCTCTGTATACGTGACTTCCTGGTTAGAAATGTTTAACAACATCTCTAGTCATAAAAAAGGGTCATCTCTATCCTATAGAGCACCTTCGAGATGTGGTGGAATGGAAGATTCACATCACTGATGTGCAACCAAATGTGCGGTAATTTTGTGATGCTATCATGGCAGCGTGGACTAAATACTCTCAGGAATATTTCCAGCACTGTGTGGAATCTGCACCGTAAAGATTTAAAGCAGTTGTGAAGACAAAGGTAGGTCCAATTCATTACTAGGAAGCAATACCTAATAATGTATATTGTCCTTTTTCCAGTCCTATCTGGATAACAGGAGTTTTTCTGTTCACCTCGGTGACCTGTCATCTCCCAGAGCTCCTTTAACTTGTGGTGTACCTCAGGGGTCCATTCTAGGCCCCCTGCTGTTTATTCTGTATTTGCTCCCTCTGGGCGATGTGCTGCGCAAACATAATGTGTCCTTCCACACCTTTGCTGATGACATTCAGATCTACCTCCCTCTGAGGTTAGACTGTAAGGACTCTCTGCAGCCGTTATTCTCCTGTTTGTCTGACATTAAGACTTGGATGGCTCTTAACTTTCTACATCTAAATGAAAGTAAAACTGAAGTCATTGTGTTTGGGCTTCCTAAAGACCCCAACCTTTCCTTTGATTTTATGGGACCCCTAACTTCCGAATGTACTTCCTCCATTAAGAGCCTCGGTGTTACTTTTGACAGTGCTTTTAAATTTGATAAACAAATCAGCTCCGTAGTCAAGGGATCTTTTTATCATCTACGGATTTTAGCTAAAGTCAAGTCCTACCTGTCCAGGAACGATCTAGAAAGGGTGGTCCATGCTTTTATTACTTCACGGCTGGACTACTGTAACTCCCTTTATGCTGGTTTAGATCGTTCCTGCCTGCATCGCCTTCAACTGGTGCAGAACGCTGCTGCTCGCATGCTGACCAGTTCCAAAAAGAGAGACCACATCACTCCTGTCCTCTGCTCTCCCCACTGGCTCCCACTTGCTTTTAGGATTGATTTTAAAATTTTACTGCTGGTTTTTAAGGTTCTTAACGGTACTGCACCTCCTTACCTGGCAGAGCTTCTTAGCATTTACCGCCCCAGGAGATCTTTGAGGTCAGCAGACCTGATGCTTTTAGATGTTCCCAGGTACAGACTAAAGACTAGGGGAGAGAGGGCTTTTGCTGTGGCTGCACCCAGACTGTGGAACAGTTTACCTCCTCACATCAGATTCTCCACAAGCCTTGGAACTTTTAAAACTGCTCTTAAAACTCACCTCTTCTCATTGGCTTTTAGCAAGGTTTAACTTATTGTTTTAATTTGTTTTATTAGTGAGGTGTTTTATGTACTTGTGTTTTATTGTATTTTATATTTGTATTTTATTGTACAGCACTTTGGTCAGCCTCGGTTGTTTTTAAATGTGCTTTATAAATAAACTTGACTTAACTTGACTTGACTTCACTTTAATTTTTTCTAAAACATATTAATGTTATATTGGGCTGTTACATTTTAATTGTTGGTGCAGTGCTGTCAAAGAAATGCATTATTTAAAAAAAACTAATTTAACTTTTGGTTGTTTTTGTGGCGTCATCTTTAATGAGAGTCTTCTTAGTAAAAATACTCATACTCCTCTATGGGGAAACTTTGCCCCCTCCCCTTTCATCCGTCCTCCTGGCTTCAGAAAATAAATAAATCAGCATTACCAGGATAAACTGATCCTGGTTCATCCAGTTTATTGTGCATATTTTCTAGGACATACAGAGAACAGGCACCAGGAACCCTAAATCCAATGTAAGGTCTTCACAGCTACCTGATAGCTTGATAGTCTTATTAAGAGAAGTAGAAAATACTTCTAGTGTCTGATTCATCAACAGTATGGTGAAAAAAGACCTCACATAGCCCACAGAAAGGCTACATCTGTCAATCTGTGGAACCAGCAATGAATACAGGAAGTCTGGATCGGCTCTTTGTTGAAAAAGTCCAGTCTTTGGTAATATGAGTATTACCCAGTAGTGCAGAGCTTGGATGAGGACGATGGGTGAGGGGACTCACCCAGTTCTAACTGCCTCTATCCTCAGGATGTCTACCCTGCCTTTTGTACTTTAATACAACTTATTAGTAATTCCATCACATATGAATGTTCAGTCATATATGAATTAATTTCCCTTAATGTTTCATTCATTTTATAGCATTTTACTTCAATTGTCTCAATCTCACATGAACATCCATTTATAACATGATACCTTTTTAACTAATTTAAAAGAGTACTTTTCCTCACTTTTTCTCTTCAAACCTCTGTGTTTATTAATCACAATAGCATTAGCTGTAGCTGTATGTCTTAGTGAGGCTTTAGTCTAGTTAATGTTATCACCATGCTTCCTTGTTTAGTTGT